AAAGGCCTCAGAAGCACGAGTATGGTGTAGAGATCCTAAACCCTAAACCCTAAACCCTAAACCCAAAACCAAAAACCGAAAACCTAAACCCGTAACCCTAAACCCTAAACGGTGCGGCTTCAAGATTGCAGGAGCCTGTGGACACTTCAGGCGATCTGAAAAGGCTGGCCGTTCAGTTTTTTTGCTCGTCCAAGGCTTAAGGCACTTTCGGTTGAGTAGTTAGGGTTTAGGGAAGTTTAGGGCGTGGGCTCATGATGCAATATTAAACAATAACTAGAACAACAGGACGAACAGCACTGAAAAAAAAATGAAAATAATGATGATGATACTCATAGTGATACAGTATTAGCAAACCGAAAACAACAACAAAAAAAAAAGAAAAGGACTCCAGCTTGACATCAGCTCACTTGCAATCCGAAACAGAACTAAGGCGCCAAGGGGAACATGCGAAAACCCGTCAACCCTAAACGCTAAACCCTAAACGTGACGCCTTAAAGACCCTGAGAAAAGCCCGGTGTAGTGTTTGGGGATTTAGGGTTTCAGGGTCTTGAACCCCTGTGAAAACCCCACGAAACCCATAGGCTAAGGCATCACCGAAGATAGCGCACCCTGCACTGGGTTCTTGCTAAGGGATTTAAATCAAGTTACCAGAATATCAAAACAAAAACTTCTTATTTCCTATGGACCCCTGAACCCAGTACACCGAATAGGGCCTTGGGGCCTATTGTGCTACATTTGTAATAAGGAGCCCCCCAAAAGAATGTAGGTAATTATTTAGGCCGCTTTTTTAGGATCCAAGAATCCTGAGATGTCCCAAACCCTAGGGTTTATAGAAAATGTTCAGGGTCTGCGTGCACTAGTTTTGACCAAAAGTTTTGACCGAAAATGTTGACCGAAACGTTTTGACCGAGTTTTTTGTGTTTTCTAACTTGATTTTTAATTTGGGTGCGGGGGCGGGACTGAGTTTGGGCTGGGGGCCTGGGCTGGTGGGCCGGGACTGGGGTGGGGCTGGGCTGGTTTTGGGGGCGGGGCTGCGGGGAGGCCTGTCTGTCGCTGTGGAATGAATTTGGGGGGCTTGGGGTTTAGGGCTGGCCGAGGAACCTGGCTGAGGCGGGATTTAAATTGGCGGCTTGGGGGGGAGGTTCAAAAACAATGACAAGCAATGCCCATTCATTTCTTTCTTCAGGGTTTAGGGCTTAGGGTTCAGAGTTTTGGATCCCCGAACCCTGAAACCGCGGAGCCCAATCCGCAGACTGTCCAGCAGGCTGTTGCCGTCCATGGCCTTGATCGCGGCATCCGCCTCTGAAGGCTCGAAGGTTTGTAAACGGCCAGAGGCCGGCTTTCAAACTTGGCTAAACGAAAGTTATACTGTTTTCAAGGGTTTTAGGGCTTAAGGTTTAGGGTTTCAGGTCGTTAATGGGGTCTTTAAACCGGGAGTGCTTGAACAAAGGCTGTGCTTTGCTCCAGTGTCCCAATGAATCCAAATCCCTTCCTGTCATCTGCGGAATACTCAATGACTCAAAGTTTAGGGTTTGGGGTTTAGGGTTTAGGGGTTCAGGGGTCCAGGGTTTAGGGGTTAGGGTTTAGGGTTTCTTGTCTGGGAGTGGGGGCTTGTTTCGAGAACACCGAGGTTTTGGCTTCAGGTGTTTGGAATAAGGACAAACAAACATATACCGGAAGAGATAGCAACAGTTCCTAGCAACCGTGACCTTCAGCTTGTGCTGAAGTACCCCCTCTGCTTCCAACCTTGAGGCATACCTGCAAGCTGCAAGTACACGAAATTTGGGAGGATACTTTAATTACGTTCCAACCTCAACTTAGATGTTGAGCATGTTGGCCATAAGTCTCTAACTATGGAGCAAAGCAGATCACCGCCTCTAACTATGGAGCAAAGCAGATCACCAGTGACAACCAACGCGAAACACAAAGCCATAAACCTAAAGCCCAACACAACACAAGCTAAACGGTCAACCCATACCACACAACATAAGCGCCTTAGGCGTTGGAGTAGAGTTTTGAGGTATATGGTCGTACAGACATATAGGGACGATAAGGGGATATCATTGCTAATCACTCAGACTCCAAGATCACACCCCTAAATCCTAAACTCCAAACTCTCAACGAAAAACCCTAAACCTACCTTAAACATCCTAAACCCTAAACCCTAAACAACTCAACCCAAACCCTAAACCCTAAACCTTCAACCCTAAACCCTAAACCTCAAATCCACTGCCACGGCGGCAGCCTCCTGCTTGTTTTCGTATTCGATGAATGCGTAGCCCTGCCAGCGTACCAGGGCTTCGTGCTTGGGTCGAGGGTTTTCAGGGGGCCCGAGGGAAGTCCAGGGTTAATCCTTAGGGTTTTGGTTTAGGGTTTAGGGTTTAGGGTTTAAGGTTTAGGGTTTAGGGCTTAGGGGGTTTAGGCTTTAGGGTCTTGGGTTTAGGCGCTGCACTTGATAAACGCCGGTATTGAAGCCATATCAAGCCCAAAACAAGCACATAGAGACCCTTGTAAACCCCATAGCTCTAAGGTTGAACCCATGGGCCCCTAGTATGGGCCCTTAGCCCTGGGATCCCGTACTTCTAACCTTAGAATAGCAACCACTGACAGATCAGGGACGGTCTCATCACCTCGGCTTTGCCAGGCTTCTGTCCCCCGAAAATACGCAAAACACGGTTCCCGCGAGTGAGAAGAGTGCGGAATCAAGGGTATTCGGCTTTCCGTGTATAAGGGTTCAGGGTTTCGGGTTTAGGGCCGTTTAGCGTTCCCTAAGCCCTAAACCCGAAACCCTAAACTGGTTCGGAGGGACTTAAAAAGTCGAAAGCATTCGGGAATGGGAACGCAGCGTAGGATTCAGATCTCCGGCGTCTACGCTTCGCTACGAAAAGGGCAAAAGCAGCAGAACACCCTAAACCCGAAACCCTAAGCCCCAAATACCCTAGCAATGCAACCCTAAACCCCAGGGACATGCAACTCTAAACCCAAAAACCCTAAACCCGAAACCCCCAACCCCCGAAGCGACCCTGCAAAAAATACCAAAGCCTTCACGAAGCCTGTGCGACGGTCCAGATTCAGATGCCTCGGCTCCCGACTTCAGGGTTAGGGTTTAGGGTTTAG